TTTTTTATTTACAGTCCGAGTGAGAGGCAAATCAAATGTCAGACGGTCTTCGTCCATATTTATTATTTCATCTGGGCTGATGGAATTCTCCGCTATCTTTGTGTGAATGTGTGGAACGAAGCAAGTTTGTCCTCGTAATTGGGAGGGAGCTGCTGACACAACGTCGTGCGTGCCCGAATAGACAGGCTTCCATTTCATGAATCTATCACACCACGACGGCCCACTTTTAAAACCTTTAAAAGCGTTGGTTGTCTTTTTACACTGGCTCAGTTCTTGCCGGAGCCTCCACCTTCGCACCATCGAATCGTCTATGCCAAGATTAGGTCTTCTCCTTTGCCTACTGGTACCTCTCCTCCACCATGGCTTTCAAAGTCTAAAGGAAAGGAGAAAGAACACTATTGGAAGAGCAGTTATGGGGCAATGGGGAATAATGATTCATGTGCTCTCATACACACCTGCCTGGTGGGGAGAACATATGTAGGGTCGAAAGCTTGTATAAGCTTCCTGAACCCTGTGTCCTCCACAAAACTGAAGGGCTCGCAATCTTCAATTAGGCTAAACAAAAAAATATTGTGTTTCCGGCAACAATACATTTCAGCATAGGGTCGGTAGGTCGGACAAAGTTTTTTTTTTTTGTTTAATTTTTTTTTTTCCTATCAAAAATTTAAACAACATAACCATAAAACAAGAAGACATTGAACCCACCGCTGCGCGGCTCCGGACTCGGGGTACCGGGGCGCGCCGCCTCCGCCATCCTCCTCCGCCATCCTCCTCCGCCCTCGGTTTTAACTTGGCCCATGGTGTTCATCAAATAGTTCGCTTTATTTTTTCGATACATCAATGGATGCTATTTTCTTAACATTACGGTGCGAGCACGCGACTGTAACACAAAAAATTCAGTTTAAACTGTCGTCGGAGATTGCAGCCGCCGCCATGTGTCAATGTTGTTGACAGACGACAGGGCAAACGACGCACGCGTTCAACGTGAATATAGCGAGAGTTTGCACCGATGTAAACCCTCTACACAAAAATGGAGAGGGTTGTTTGAAAAAAATGCCAACCATCAAGTTTTTTTTTCGACGTAGAAATTCTCGGTCGGTCGGGTTACTGGAAACACACTACTTTTTTTTCTACGCCTTGTGGGCACAGCAGCTCGATTTCCTTCTTTAACTGCCAGAGTGATCGCTTTTAGTTTAATAGCTGCATCATATGCTTTTCGTCTCGTGTTCTCCATGTTGAGATCAGGGTTAGAAGATAGACTGAAATAAGGAAGTTGTGATTACCCGTAATCATACAATTTCATTGGACGCCTGTGTACTACTCATTCATTTTATTGGTCGACTGTTGCCGAGTAACACATTCCCCCCGCTATGGCAAAAAGAGCGGAAGTTGTGATTAGTCATACAATCTCATTGGACCTCAGTGAAAGACCCATTCATTTTATTGGTCCATGTTTTTCCCGCGATGGAAAAAAAAAAATTAAAAAGCCGCTTCATATTACACGCCGCAGTATTGGAAGTGTGGAAAAAAAGTAGCGGCTTGTAATTCGAAATTTACGGTATATATACCTACAATGCTGTCCAAAATAATAGCAGTGCAATGTGACTAACCAGAATATCCCTGGTTTTTAGTATATTTTTTATTGTTACATGCCAGACAAGTTACCAGTAGGTGCAGTAGATTCTCAGAAAACAAACAAGACCCAGCATTCATAATAGGCACGCGCCAAAGGCTGTGCAATTGCGCAAATAGTTCAAAGGGGTGTGTTAAAAAAAATAGCAGTGTCTGCTGTTAACTGTACAAACTCAAAACTATTTTGTATTTCCACAAAAAAAGGTAGGATTTAGCAATCCGAATGTTTAGTTGTATGACCACAGTTTTTTATAACTGCTTCACATCTGTGTGGCATGGAGTCAATCAACTTGTGGAACCTTTCAGTTGTTATTTCACTCCATGATTGCTTAACAACATTCCACAATTCATTTACATTTCTTGGTTTTGCTTCACAAACAGCATTTTTGATATCACCCCACAAGTTCTCGATTGGGTTGAGATTTGGGGATTGGGCTGGCCACTCCATAACATTAATTTTATTGGTTTGGAACCAAGACTTTGCTCGTCTACTGGTGTGTTTGGGGTCATTGTCTTGTTGAAACACCCATTTCAAGGGCATGTCCTCTTCAGCATAAGGCAACATAACCTCTTCAAGTATCTTGACATACACAAACTGATCCACGATCCCTGGTATGCGATAAATGGGCCCAACACCAGAGGAGGAGAAACATGCCCAGACCATGATACTTGCACCATCATGCTTCATTGTCTTCAATGTGTACTGAGGTTTGAATTCAGAGTTTGAGGGTCGTCTCACACACGGTCTGTGGCCCCTGGACCCAAAAAGGACAATTTTACTTTCATCAGTCCACAAAATGTTCCTCCATTTTTCTTTAGGCCAGTTGATGTGTTCTTTGGCGAATTGTAACCTCTTCTGCACATGCCTTTTTTGTAACAGAGGGACTTTGCGTGGGATTCTTGAAAATAAATTTGCTTCACAAAGACGTCTTCTAACTGTCACAGCAGTTAGAGGTAACTGCAGACTGTGTTTGATCATCCTGGAGCTGATCATTGGCTGAGCCTTTACCATTCTGGTTATTCTCCGGTCCATTTTAATAGTTGTCTTCCGTTTTCTTCCACGTGTCTCTGGTTTTTCTACCCATTTTAAGGCATTGGAGATCATTTTAGCTGAACAGCCAACACATTTTTGCACCTCTTAATAGGTTCTTCCCTCTCCAATCAACTTTTTAATCAAAGAACGCCGTTCTTTGGAACAGTGTCTTGAACGACCCATTTTCCTCAAATGCATGTTCAACCTGTGCTGGCTTCGTCATCCTTAAATAGGCGCCACCTGATTCACACCTGTTTTTGTTTTTTTCTTTCTTCCCCAAAATTGATGAACTCAGAGATTGGTTGCCACACTGCTATTTTTTTGAACACACCCCTTTGAACTATTTGCCCAATTGCACAGCCTTCGGAGCGTGCCTATTATGAATGCTGGGTCTTGTTTGTTTTCTGAGAATCTACTGCACCGACTGGTACCTTGTCTGGCATGTAACAATAAGAAATATACTAAAAACCAGGGATATTCTGGTGAGTCACATTGCACTGCTATTATTTTGAACAGCACTGTATATATAAGTATGTATTTCCACTTGTGTGTGTAATTGTGTGTGTGCGCACATGTGTTTGTGTGTGTTCACCAACCAAGCATCATAGCAGACCACAGTGCAGCATAGCGTAGGATGTATCGACACAAGTAATGAATAAGTCCTTCACCATAATACACGTTGGTCTGGCCATCTTAATCAAAAGGAGCTTTTGGCAATTAATCGGCTGACATGCTTTGCAAAACTGTTTTTTCCTTGGATGTCCTAAATATTATAGACGTTATTTATTATTAAGATAAATTACCCCAAACAAATCTCATTTGGAATTAAAATCATATTAATTAAAAGAAAGTTATCAAAGGACATCAGATGAAACATTACATTATGATTGCAAAAGGCCAATGTTTTTAGGAATTGTTCATTAGTGGCATTCAATCAAAATGTGCATGAATTGACAGTTACATTTTATAGCCGTGTAAGCGCAAATAAAAAAGGAGTCTATCTCTTCAAGAAGTCCTTCACTTTCTAGGTTTTCCTCAAAAGGCTGTTTGTCCTGCATCAGGAGCTGCAAGTTTTTGAAGTGCTTTTCAACGTTTTGTCCACTGCATGGACTGGAGAAAACGACTGTAGCACTTAAAACCATGTCATCCAGAGCTTGTAAGGTTGTTTCGGGTGTAAAAAGTCTGATTACATGCATATTCAGGTGGTATTTTTGTTTGGCGCTGAAAGAAATGACATAATGACATCTGTCATTAACACAAAATAGTGATGAGAGCATTGTTTACATAATGATTTTCAATTATAATTTAAATGTTCTGACGTTATACAAATTTCCTTGGCATTCTTTATTGTATTGTATTGTATTGTATTGTATTGTTTATTGAACATATATAGAACATACAATAACAGATTGACAAAATGCAAACAAAAGTCATAAAAGGAAAAAATAAAAGTAAGTAAAACAAACATCGTCACAGTTATATGCTCAAAGGAGTAGGATGACGTGTACAACTTATCTAGTCCTACCCCTTGTTGTGTAAGAATGTGTATTGATCGTTTTTCAATCCCAAAGAAAAGGAAGAAATCTACATGTCATCAAATACTTTTACCCTTATGTGTACTGTACTTATCTATTTATACACCTTTCGGTTTATTTATATATACTTATCTATTTATACACCTTTCGGTTTATTTATATATATATACATCCACATACACACACACATACATATACACATATATATATACATACATACATATATACATACATACATACACATACATATTCATACAAAATTGTTCTTTCTACTTTTTATATCAAATGTCTCATATTCATTATAAATACTGCATTTCTTGAATACATTCAATAAGTTGTTAAAAAATCCAAAACAAGAACAATCCGTTGTTACTATATTTTATAAGTACCGGTATATAAAATTTATCTTCTTAACTTTGATTTATGTAGTTTTTTTGTACGAATCTTTTCAATTTGTTTTTGAACTCGTCCAGCGATTTACTCATTTTCAGATCCGTCTCAAGCTTATTCCACAGATTGACTCCTATTACTGATACACACCTTTGCTTGATGTTTGTTCTTGTTCTGGATTTTTTGTATTGATTAATACCTCTTAGATTATAACAACTATCTCTAATTTCAAAAAGCTTCTGGATATTTTGGCAAAAGAGATTGTTATGTGCTTTATACATTAATTGGCCGATTTTGAAGTCAAGTCAACCTGGTCATAGAATTTCATTGTGTTTAATTTGATGAATAGTGGATTTGTGGGTTCGATATATTTAGACCAATTGATTATTCTGATTGCTTTTTTCTGTAGTTTTAAGACAGGGAGTGTGTTTGATTTACAGGCGTTACCCCATATTTCCACACAGTAGGTCATATATGGGAGTAATAATGAGTAATATAATGTGTACAAGGAACTCTTATTCAACACATCCTTAGTTTTGTGGAGTATCCCGATAGTCTTGGATATTTTTATTTTAACGTTATCTGTATGTGGCTTCCAGAATAGTTTAGTATCTATTACTAGTCCAAGAAAATCATTTTCATTAACTCGTTCTATTTCAATTGAACTTATCTTTATTTTAACTTGGTCTTTAATTGGTCTCGTGCTGAAAACAACTAACTTAGTTTTTGTTAAATTTAAAGATAGTTTATTTCTGTCGAACCAGTTATTTAGTTTGGTTAATTCATTTTCCACAGTTTTCAGGAGTTGTTCCATATTTTTTCCAGAGCAGTAGACTGTTGTGTCATCGGCGAATAGGACACATTTGAATATTTTTGAAACACTGCAGATGTCATTTATATATAGAATGAATAGTTTTGGTCCAAGCACTGATCCCTGTGGTACTCCATGGGTAATCTTCAGTGAGTTGGATTTTTTGTTATTGAACTGCACATACTGATATCTGTTTTTTAAATAACTTTCAATCCATTTATATGCTATGCCTCTGATACCATATCTCTCTAATTTATTCAATAATATGGTATGATCTATTGTATCAAAAGCTTTTTTTAGATCTAGAAAAATCCCAACCGTGAATTCTTTATTGTCTATATTAGTTGTTATTGCTTCCACAAACTCCATTACTGCCATTAAGGTGGTCCGTTTTTCCCTGAAGCCATATTGGTTTTCACCTAACAGCCCGTGTTTATTTATGAAGTTGTCAAGTCTGCGAGAAAATAATTTTTCTAATATTTTTGAAAATTGTGGTAGCAGTGATATTGGTCTATAATTTGTAAAGAATTGTCTTTCTCCACTTTTAAAAATTGGATTGACTTTAGCTATTTTCATTTTTGATGGAAAAACACCGGCTTTAAATGACAGGTTGCATATGTATGCAAAAGGTCGCACTACAAATTCTATAATCTGTTTTACTATTGTCATATCAATATTAAAACAGTCAGTTGACTTTTATATGATTTTACAACATTTCATATTTCATTTTGATTCACAGCAGTAAGAAACATTGTGGAAGAATTTTTTTCTATGTATTTATCTATTTCAAAAGAATTTATTAGATCAGGAATTTGTTTTGCTAAGTTGCTACCGATATTAACAAAATATTCATTAAATTCCTTTGCTCTTTGTGCAGTTTCCTCAATAATGGTATTTTTATCTTTCACAAAGTACTCCGGATCATCTACTTTATTAGAGCTATTTGAAATTACATGATTTAAGATATTCAATATTTCTTGAGTGTTGCTTTTATTTTGCTCTAATAATGTATGAAAATGGTCTCTCTTGCTGGTTCTTATAATGTTTACGAATTTGTTTTTATAAGTCTTATATTTTGTTTCAGCTTCTTTGGTTCT